GCGCTGGGCTAGGCGCTCGGGTTTCTGCGCAGAGAGTTTTCACAGTCGTAAGCCACCCATTTTGAAGATGGGGAAAGGTGACCCTTCAGATACATTGCCGACTCCCCATAGATTTATACTTTATCTGTTTCCATATTCCTTGCTGTCTCAGCACAACAAATACCGAGTGTCTTTCAGCTTCTGTGGGCAGGTGTCCCAGGGGGATGTGCAGGCTCTGGTCTCTAGTAAAGCCAAGCCGGAGGTCATGGCTACAGCCATCCAAAGGCTCGTCTGGGGAAGACTTCACTCACACAGCCATTGGCAGACTTGGTTTCTTGCCTCCTGGGCCTTGGTGCAAGGTAGCTGGCTTCTCCAGTGAGGAGCTCTACCACATGGAAGTGAGGGGGCATACTTCAGACAGAAGCCTTGGCTTGCTGCACCCCATGGCAGAATCACCACCCCATCCCTCCTGCTACTTTCTTTGATAGACATAAATCCCTAAGATAGCACACACAATAAGAGCAGGGGACTTGCAGAAGGGTCAGAATATGTCTGCCCTTTTGTCTGCCCAGTGGATGGTGGGGCTGAGATTTAAGCCGAGGGAGAGTAGCTCCAAACCGCTCTATGGCATGGCCCCTACGCCCTTTCACCTTAGTCCTCTGTGGGAAGACTCCTGAATTCTGCCCTCTGGGAAACTCTCTGAGATGGCAAGGGAATTTGCGAATGACTGAGGTTGCAGAGGAGATCCTTGGGCTACCTGGAGTTCCTCCGAGGGCAGACTGGCTTGGGCTGTCAGAATTTCAGCTCGGACAGGCTTCTGATATACTGAACTTGGAGAAACGGAGTGATGGAGAGGGATTCACACTCTCCCTGCACTTCCCAGCAGTGGCTCTGTCTGCTAGCCACGTCCTGAAAGGAATAGAACTCCTGGAGACAGCTGCAGAGGGTGGCAGGAGAGTGTTCCTGAGCTGGGGACAGGCGAACATCCTGACACCCTCCAGCAGGAACAGCGAATGGCATGTTCTTGGCTCCCATACCTTTGGCGCCCAGCACACTCCCTGAGGCTGGGTTGCTATGGACAACCAGAGGCTGTCTCTCAGTCTCAGAGCCTGCCTGCATTGCCCAACTCCACAGATGGCAGCAGAAAAAAAAATTATCAGCCACTAGGAGGTGCAAAGGAGACCTTTGGAAATGTGCTGAGCAAGAGACTTTGCTGTGACTCTGGGAGATGCCTCCCTCCACCCCCTTTTGAAATGTTACAGAAGCCATGCAGGATGGACGAGGGCAGCCTGCTCCTGAATTGAACTGTCCTGCTCTCAGATAAAAGCTGTTAGAAGCAGAGGCTGCTGGCAGGTGGCTAGGGTGACCTCACACCTGGCCCACGTCCCTTGATTGGCACTGCCTCTCTTCCATCTTATTCCATGCCCCATCAAACACCCTGGGATCCTGAGAGCCCTCACCATGACCCCTGGGTGCCCATGTACCTCCCTCTCTCATTCAAGGCTCGTGGGTATTTCTTTTCTACGTTTTCAGTTGTCTCTTTTAGCAAAGTCTCCAGGCGTCAATGATGAAACGCAGTGTTTTCCCTATCAACACTGCCGGCTGTTCCCTAAGCCTTGGAAGACACACATGACATCCTTAGGCCTACAGACACTGTGAGAGAAACAACCCAGTTTTCAGATAACGAAAACGAGGCCTAGCAAGGCAGAAAGTCTTGCCTGTGGTCCACAGCTGACTAGTGATGGGCTCATAGCTAAGCCGAGATGTGTCTGACCCCAACGCCCGTTGGCTCTCCAATCTTTTACTCTCTCTCTCTCTCTGGGCCTCGCTCTCACGCGGTCTGCCTTCAGACCCCTATTGCTTCTGCATCTTGCTGTCACTTCTTGCCAGGGGCACCTGTTGCTTAGGAACCTGCATGGACCAGTCTTCTACTCTACTGGACACACTTCCTTCGGATGAATGTTTTGGTGTTAGCCCTGCGGCCCCACGCACCAGGGTAAGAGAGACTCGCTTCCTGCCCTGGCCCGAGGGACCGACTGGCTGGGCCTGCCTTCCGCCCAGCTCACCTGTCATGGAAGAGAGTTTGGACACACTCTGCTCTTACCCCATGAAGAAAGTGTGCACAGCCCAGGTTCCTCTGACCTGAGTGGACATTCCCTGTGGCCAGGGTTAGAGTCTTGATCCATACATGGGCTGGAAAGCCTGGTCCTGTTTGCCAGTTGCTCCAGTGTGTGAGGCAGGATGGCGGGGGCGAACAAGCATCGCATGGAGTTTAAAACTCATTATGTTGGCCTTTCATGTTCTAAGAAACCAGGCTAAGAAACCGCACTAAAGTAAATGGCCCTTTGACCTTCCATAGTGGTAGTATTCTCCTTGGGAGGTGCCTAATAACCATCTCTTTGGTGGTGGAGTTCAGCTTGCCCATGTTCAGTCAACCAGAAATCTCCAGTGAGTAGAACTGTACTTTCACCATAGTGACAACTGAGACCTGGGGTCAGGACTCCTGGGCACCTGCAAGTCTTTCAAGTACATCACAGTTTTTAGGATTACACGCTGGTCAGTAAGCGTTATTGTTAGCCTAGAACCTGCTCTTCAACTCCTTACGAGTCCTGCATCCCCATCCTTGCCCAGGCTCATCCCATGGACAGAATGAGATGGCATGTGGCTGTAGTTTCACAAGGCTGAGGCAGGAGGATTGCTTGAGTCTAAGAGTTTAGGGCTAACCTAGACGACAGTGAGATACGTAAGGCATATTTTAGGAAGGTTCATGGGCACATAGTCTTTAGAGTTGCCCTGGAGGAGGGAGTTGGCCTTGTCTGGAGTTTGCCAAGAAGCTGAGTTCATTAACATTAACATCCCCTACCTACCCTGCAACCCCATGGACCTGCCCATGGCTGCCATTTAAACAAGATGTGGTGGGAAGAGATGTACAATCTAACTTTTCTCCGCAAAGGGTGCTGCTGTCTCCAAACTGAGGACTCTAAGCTGAGGCTTGCAGGAGAGGGGCATGAAGACTTGGTCTGGGAGCACAGCAGTGAGGCCTGTGTCCTGGTCTGGGAGCACCGTAGTGAGGCCCATGTGTCCTGGTCTGGGAGCACAACAGTGGGGCCGGTGTCCTGGTCTGGGAGCACAGCAGTGAGGCCTGTGTCCTGGTCTGGGAGCACCGCAGTGAGGCCCATGTGTCCTGGTCTGGGAGCACAACAGTGAGGCCTGTGTCCTGGTCTGGGAGCACCGCAGTGAGGCCTGTGTCCTGGTCTGGGAGCACTCACTGCAGTGAGGCCTGTGTCCTGGTCTGGGAGCACAGCAGTGAGGCCTGTGTCCTGGTCTGGGAGCACCGCAGTGAGGCCAGGCCTGTGTCTTTTGGTTTGCTTTGGAAAGGATTAGAGGTCAGTGACTCCTGATCTTGAAGAGTTTGTGACCTATTTTTGGGTCACAGACCCTGGTGAACCAATTCTAACGAGCAGCGACCAATGACACGGACAGCAGGGAGTCGGTGTCGCGCCTGACAATGTGCAATGCTTGTCGCTGGGCATTTCCTGTCCCTGAGGTTTGCACTCCTGTCAATGCACATGGCTGCATAGACCACCTGTCCTCTCTCCAGTAACACGCTGTGAGGCAGTAGAAAGCACTGTGATAGTTCAGCGTGGCAGACATTGTTAACGGCATGCCATCAAGAAATTCCCACAGGCCAGGGGTCAAAACTGTGCTTCTCACTGCCTGAGTTCTGTAGAGCAGGGCCTTGGCATCTCCCGGGCTGTTTTGCAAACAGACCCTCAGACAAATCCTGGACTTGCTACACGGGAAATGGGGTGGGGCCCAGCAGTTTGTGTGAGGACTGACAGGCTTACATCAACCCCGTGGCTTACGTTGGCTAGTGGAGACGTCCACACGTCCCCACCTCTTAAGAAGGGTGTGGAAATGGCAGGAAGGGGTACTACCATGATGGGGGCAGTGCGAGCTTGCCCACGTTTATCAAAATATCCAGGCTACTGTTATCTTTGTCATTTTGACTCTTATTTATTTAATAGCATGAGCAATGGCTTGAGAGCGTGAATGCCACTGACGTACAGCTCATTAACGCAGCGAGAACATGGCTTTCCTTTGGCTTGAGCACACCTTGCAGCAGAAATACATATGAATTGCTATTCAAAATAGACGTCCAAATATGTATAACCAGAACAAATATTTCATAAACCAATACCCTGGCTGTGTATTTTCTGAGCTGTTCAGTTTGATGTGTTCTGGTCACAGCCCACTGAATTGGTTTCTGTGACTCCTGAATGAAGGTCAGCATGCAGGGGGCAGCGTTGACGGTGAGGAGAAGCCATGGCAGCCTCCCCTCCGGGTCAGGTGGCCTTGGGTTCCCCTGCCTGCTCTGCCTCCCCTTGCTGAGTGACCTCTGGCTGTTTACATGTGTTTTCTGAACTTCTTTACATCCCTCATCTGTCAATCACTGACAAGCAAATGACAACACACTTCGTGTGCCTGGCTGTGTTAGCTACGACCTTCCCCCGGAGGGGAATGAAAGCCCTTTGAGCACCGGTTTCCAGAGCTGTCAGTCACCTAACTCGATAACCGCCACGAAGCAGTGCTTAAAAAATATTATTTTTTCTTTATGCAGGTACTGGGTACCCTCTACAGTCCAGATACTCAGAAAAACTTATGAGTAATACAGTATCCTAAAAATGTACCCAGAATCTGGGCTTCCCATCCCAAATATAGTTGTTTGCCTCAATGTAAAAATCGTGCTCCTCTGCCTCCATCTTGTGTGTACCGAGATTGTATTAGATGCGTTCCTTACTGCGGCATCACCCAGAGAGGGCGTGTTTGCAAAGTGTGGGCCCATCTGTGGTGCGTGGCTGTCTTTCCTTGAATATGTAACCACCCTCAGTGACTAGGGCAGCATCTTTCTGTGTGTAATTCTGCAAACTGGCAGGCAGCGCGTGGATGTGCCACAGATTGGCCATCCACTCCCGTGAGTGCTGGGCAGATCTAGTTAACGTGTGCTTGTCTTTCTGGAGGTCATGATTGTGGTTGGTGGCCAAGCACCTAAGGCAATCCGCAGCGTGGAGTGCTATGACTTTGAGGAGGGCCGCTGGGACCAGATAGCTGAGCTTCCTTCCAGGAGATGCAGAGCAGGTAAGCCCCCCCCCCCCCAACAAGAGTTCCAAGCAGCCTCTCCCCAGCTGCTCTCTGCCTTGTGCGGCTCCTTCTGCAGACTCCCCGCCCCTCCCACCCGCAGGTGTGCACAGCACATTACTACCGCTTACTCTGAGGTCAGTTCTTACATGCTTGTGGGTTTAAGCCAATTCATGAGTTTACTCAAACCAGGCAAAGCTAGAGAAACAAATAGGAGAAGAAATCGGAGTCCCATAGTTCCTCGCAGATATCTAGAGCTGGAGGTGGCCTTCCATCGGGAGTCGGTTGTAAGCCCACCTTGCTTCCTTGACGTCAGACATCAGCTTGGGCAGGCGGCCCTCTTCCTGAGTCTCACACTTGGTTTCCTTCCATTGCAGGCGTGGTGTTCATGGCTGGCCACGTATACGCCGTGGGTGGCTTTAACGGTTCTCTGCGGGTGCGGACGGTGGATGTATATGACGGCGTGAAGGACCAGTGGACGTCCATTGCCAGCATGCAGGAGCGCCGGAGCACGCTGGGTGCGGCCGTGCTCAATGACCTCCTCTATGCAGTCGGAGGCTTTGACGGCAGCACCGGTAGGTCCAGGGAGGGTTGCCGTACTCTCTTCTCTGGGCGGTTTTGCTTTGCTCGGTCAGTTCTTGGCTAGCCTCTGGCATTTGTAGCAATGCCCCAGGCATGAGTCCCTCAGACTCAGTGAGCTCTCCTTCACTGTCAGGAAATACTGACGTAATCTTCACAGAAAAGATACCTTGTGACTTACAGCGGTGCAGGTTCAAGTCCACAGACCTGTGTGGACCTGTGGTGAGGCCGTTCACCATGGTACAGTGATGTTCATACATGGAACTGCTCACATCACTAGCCGGGAAGCAACAGGAAGGCCTCAAGGGTCACCCCAGTGGCTAAGGACCCTCTCCCAATGGTCCCACCACTTCCGCAGCACCACTACCCAAGGGCAAGACTTCAGCATAAACATGGGCCTCCAGGGCCTTCAGGATCTAAACTCCTAACTACCGTCCACCAGAAGCAAGCCTTTGTGTGGACTGAGTCCATATCTGCTCCATGATATGATGGGTTCTGAGGAGGTTAATACTCAGAAGGCCCCCCTCTCACCTCTCCCGTGCCTAGTAGCCTGTTTCCTCAGAGGATCAGACAGAGAAAGGGAAAGTGTCCTGCTGGAAGAGCCTCAGGAGTCTAGACTGAGCACCTTACTGAGCCGTTGAAGAACCTCTGGCTTAAGGGGAAGGCACCTGGCTCTGAGCAGGCACAGTTGCCTGATTGGTCACTGCTCTTTCTATTGCCCCCAGAGGGCACCTCACTCTATTGCCCCCAGAGGGCACCTCACTCCCAGATTTTATCTCCCTTCAAAATGTCAACCTGGGGTCTGGAGAGAGCACCGGCTGCTCTTCCCTAGGACACAGGTTCTTTTTCAAGCATCCATGTGGCAGGCGGCTTACAGCCGTGTATAACCTTGCGTCAGTTGCAGAGCATCTGATGCCCCCTTCTGGCCTGCATGGACCCCACACGTATGTGGTACACAGACAGACGTGGAGGTGAACACCCATACACATTCAGTCTGAACTGTTAGTGGATTGTGACTTTGGAGAGGCATTGTTATCTGTACTGACGTGATCAGGCGGATGACCGAAGATGGCGACCCCAAACTACCATGATAGTCTTTGGCCCCAGGGAGGGAAAAGCTGAATTTAATTATTTATCAAACACCTCTCTGAAGGCTCTTCAGTGAGTGTGGTCTAGGATGGGCACTGGGGATTATTTCGGCAGGACTTGCTTACAGTGCCTGTGAAGGGGGTTTTGTTGTATCCAGAGAGGAAACACAGAGTCCAGGGGCCACTTTCCCAACTTGGTCTGACTGTACATGGATACTGGGGCCAAATTCTCTAAGCTTCTCTTGGCTTTCCCCATGATAACCTCAGAGTGGCTATAACTCCAGATAGGGCATTTGTGTCCTTGGTAGCAAGAAGCAGGAAGGGGTCGCCTTGTATCAGAAATGAGAAAGCCATCCTAGAAATTCCCCCCAGATTTCTACTTAGGGCTCAATGACGCCTAGCTGCAGGGGATCTCGGGAGGTACATTTTTAGCCATCCAGCTTGTAAAGTGGGAGAAGATGTGGGAAAAGGGATCCAGACTGGTGTTCAGTGAGACATCCTCGGGCGTTTACTTGGGATCGAAGGTTCCAATTCTGTAAGTTTAATGTGTGCATCTATAGCGCACTTCAGGTGTACCCCTTGCTGTCACCAGATTCCCGATATGTCATACCTCGGTGGTCAGTGATTGCCTTATGTAGCCTGAGGAGTTACCATAGCCACATGATAGGCAGAGGCGTACCAGGCTGAACATCGAGTCTGTAGTCCCGGCTTGGCCCCTTCCTGGCCTCACTGTTCCTCACAGAGCAGGGTGAGGCCCACGGCTGTAGGAATTTCGTGATTCTCTTCTCCCTAGGTCTGGCGTCAGTAGAAGCCTACAGCTACAAGACCAATGAGTGGTTCTTCGTGGCACCAATGAACACACGGCGGAGCAGCGTGGGAGTGGGTGTTGTGGAGGGTAAGGAGGCAGCAGAGGGTGGTGGCTGGTCCTGCCCTAACCTGTGGCTGGGTCTTGTCCCGAGTCCAGCATTGTGCTTGAAGCTCCTTCTATTGTGGCCCCGTTATCCAGGTCTGAGTTTGGTCCCATTGTCTCTAGTTAACAGACAAGGAGGGCTGGGACTCAAGAGGGCTGAAAGGGGCTTCAGGAGGTCAGGAGAGAAAGCAGAGATGCAGGGGAGAGTGACACCTGTCCCTTGGCCACCTGTCAGTATCTTTGCTAATAGTGGGGGATGGGAAGGAAGTAGGGAGCCCAGAGTCCACGTATAAAGTCAGGTGCGTTAGTTCTGCTTGTTAATCCCCTGCTCACCTTCACGTGTTGCATGCTGACAGGGCAATGGGGAAGGCAGGCTACTTTTCTTCAGGTCTGACACAGCTCAGGTCGCAGGACAGACTTGGTGTGGGGTATGGCTCAGGCATAGGGAGCGGTGAGACCCGAGGCCTGACCAGACAATACTCAGAAATCTATAAAACACCTTTCTCTTCCTTATTCTCCCAAGCCCTCTGGAAGACCATAGGTCTCAACTGGTAAAGCAGTCCTGGCGAGGGCCGATAAAGCGCTTGTATTATGACAGTCAACAGCAGAGCAGGCCTCAAACCCAGGTCTTCTGACTCCTAATCTAGATCAGGAAACCATCCTCAAATGCTGATGGGTGCGCATGTGTGAGCTCAGTACCAATGCAGAGAGTATGGAGTTGATTTAAAATGTTAGAGATGATGGACCAATAAAGATTTATTAGTCTGCACTGATGTCTGCTCATCCAGATATGCATGGATGCTTCATGTGCACCCATGAAGGCATACACACATACACCAACACACATATACACGCACACACATACACAGGTACACATGTGTACACATGGACATATGCACACATGAGCCTAACATGCAGTGAGGTGGTGTCTTAGTTTGTTTTCTGTGGCTCTGCTAAAACACTGGCCACAAGCAACTTGGGGAAGGAAGGGTTTGTTTGGCTTACAGGTCACAGTCCACCATTAAGGAGAGTCAAAGCAGGAACCCAAGGCAAGAACTGAAGCTGAGACCATGGAGGGGAGCTGCTTACTGGCTTGCTCTCCATGGCACGCTCACGGCACCACCCATGGTGGGCTGGGCCCTCCTGCCTCAGTTTGCCATCAAGGAAATGATCCACAGACATGCCTATAGGCCAGTCTGAAGGAGGCAGTTCTTCAGCTGAGGGTTCCTCTTTCAAGCTGACAAAACTGACTAGTATAGATGACGGCTGCGTTTTCTCCCAGCGTTTCTCAGCCTGTACACTGTTATTAGTTTGAAAATTTCACTTGAAGGTATATTATCCCAGCATAGCCATCTTGGCGAGGCCAGGATCCTGTCCCTCTCAGGAGGAACTGCTTCTCAAGGTCTCATTCTCTTGGTGGGACCGAAACTGACCCGCCAGCCAGATCCAAGAGCTCTGTCGGTCACCTTCTCCTTTCCCTTCTTGTTCTTTAGCCAGGAACATCAAACAATTGACCAGAGGTTAAAAATAGCAGGCCCTCGGGAATGCTCTCCAGGAGAGACCTTGAGTGGCCTTTTGCTTTAGCTGGGACAAGGTTGAAGGTCAGAGGAGGTGCCTTGATGGTGGAGATTTAAAATACTGCTGGGGACCAGGGCTTTTGCTGCTGTGCCTGCTTGCGGAAGTGCAGTTCAATAGCTGGCCCTACAGGTGTAGCTCTGTTGGCCGTGGGCTGCCTCAGGACAGCAGAAAGTGTTTCTAAGAATGTGCAGGAGAAACTGGAGTGGGTTGTGCCTCACAAGGGTTTGAAGATTCTCTCTCTCCTCCGTCTTGTTACCTCACTACCAAGATTACGCAGTCTGAGTGACCCCTAAGAATGCAGGGTAATTTACTACTCACTGCGTGGAAGAACCACTCATAAGACAAGGTACAGTGCGGGCTGGAGTGTAGACGGATGTGCTCAACAGAGGAGATGGCGTGTTACAGAGATGGGACCACACGAGCCAGCGCACAGTGTCAGTGGTCTGGGACCATAGGAGCCAGTGCACAGTGTCGCTGGCTCAGGACCACACAAGGCAGCACAGTGTCAGTGGCCCCAGACTACCTGAGCCAGCACACAGTGTCAGCCGCTGGGAACCACCAGAGCCAGCACAGTGTCTGTGGCCTGGACTCTGGAGAGGCTACCGAGTGTATTTCTTTGTCAGCTTTGACTTTGTGGGGGAGGGGCTGTGGATGAGATCTTTGTGAGAAAGGTCAATTGAAAAGACTCAGAGGAAAAGATCCTGCGATAGCGGGATTGCTGGATCAATAGCCCTGATGCGACGGCATTGTTTGGACCTGAGGAGCTAACAGCATAACCATGGATTTTTGAATCTTAGTTGTACCCACAGTATTAGGGACTGATATATTGACCCCCAAATCCTTGATTGAGTAATTCTGTTAAATAGATTTGCCCGTGTCTGTGTTTACCCTGAAGCTAGTGTCATGGTGTCCTGTAGATCTGATGTCCATAGAGGTAGGGCCTCTCTCCCGTCTCCTATTGGATCTAAGGCAAGAAGATTTAAGCCTCATGTGTTTGAAACCTTGTTCTCACATAGGTCAGATTTTCCCCTTCCTGTTTGTACCCCACTTCTATCCTCTGGCCTCAGCTGGGAATGACTCTCCCACAGGAGCTTAATGTGATTTTATTTTTATTTAAAAATAGTCGATAAGGGCTGGAGAGGTGGCTCAGCGGTTAGGAGCACTGACTGATCTTCCAGAGATCCTTCGTTCAGTTCCCAGCACACACATGGCAGCTCATCCCTGCCTGTTCCAGGGGATCTGGCACCCTCACAGACATGCAGGCAGAGCTCCAGTGAACATAGGAAAAGCAGTTGATGATGCTTCGGCGTTCTGATATGGCTCAGAGAACAGAGGTGACTGGAGAAAGATCCCCGCTTCTTCCCCCAGAGTGCACAGAACCCTTCTTTTGCCTGTGCTACCGGCCAGGGTTTCTGGAGGTGCGACCAGGGCCAGGCTCAGGTTCTCACAGAAGAATATTCCCCCAGTTCTTCTTGCTTGTCACTGTGAGCCTAGAACCAGACAGTTGGGGGTGTGATCATGTCTGAGAGCCTCATAGCTTCTAGCGCCACACGCTTTAACCTAGTTCTCCAAGCTAGACTACTTTGAACCTTGGTGATGCCAAGCGAGTCTTCCGTGCTGGGTTCCTGGGCCCCTTTTTAGAAAGAGCTTCAGCATCGCTTCTCAGTATCTCAGGGCTTCAGAGCAGAGAGAAGGTAGGAATGTGAGGGAGATACACCCCGTGTTTGGAGAATAAGCTGGGTCCACCGAGAACTCTGAATGAGGCGAAGGTACCTCAGTGGGTTAAACACGGAGTGCCAGCCGAGCCTCCGCTCCAAGTCAGTGCCACTGGCACCATCCTCAGTCACTTTGTCTATTCCAGGGAAGCTGTATGCTGTCGGGGGTTACGATGGGGCTTCCAGGCAGTGCTTGAGCACCGTGGAGCAGTACAACCCAGCCACCAACGAGTGGATATATGTGGCAGACATGAGCACCCGACGCAGTGGCGCTGGTACGTGAGGGCCTTGGGGTTCGGGAGAGCCTTGGGGTTTGGGAGAGCCTTGGGGTACAGCAGAGCTTTGTGGTATAGCAGAGCTTTGGGGTAAGGAGACCATAGGGGTACAGGAGACCATTGGGGTACAGGAGACTGCCGTGTGTGCATGCTGTGTCTACTTTGTTCATGGCTGGGACTAGAGACAGACAACGGAACTGCACCTTACTTCCCGCATCCCTTCTCTTTTCCTTTGGTAACCCCACCCCTACACCTACAGCTGTGCCCACACAGGGATCTGCCTTTCCCAGGGACTCGTTGATCAGTACGGAAGGGGTAATGTCTTCCATGTCTATTACTGCTGGTTTCTGTTTTAGACAACTCTTCTATGGCCCAGGCAGACTCCAAGCTTACCAATAGCCCAGACTACACCAGGGCATCCCTTCTGTTTGTACTTGGACCTATGTCTCTGGAAGTCCAGGCCTCTGTGAGCCAGGCGCTGTCATGATACAAACATTCCCCCTCCTTCCTCTGACATTCACTCTGCAGCCCAGGCTGACCTCAGACTTACAACCTCCTGCTTCAGCCTCCGCGTACTGGGATGGCAAGGCGCACCTGGCCGAGGCCTTTGACTTCTTACTCCCCACCTCAGCCCTAAAAGGCTTCCTGATACTGATTAGACCTCAGAGGTGGATCACTTTGTCCAAGTATAGAATTAGAAACTTTCGGTGAGGCTTTTTAGTCCTCGACCAGTGAGCATCATCGCCTGCCTGAAGCTGGCGTTTATGGCTGGAGCTAAGCCTAGGTCCCTTTCCCTACTTTTCCTTGCCTTGTTCCTTCCTCTCCAACATGGTGAGAGAAAGACATCCCAAATGACTTTCTGTTTCTGCTGTGTGGGGAAGCCCAGGAGCTCAGGAACTGCTTAACAGCCCCTTCCTCTCTCTTTTGTCTCCTCCACCGTCCCAGGGGCTCACCGTCTGGGGGAGCAAGCAAGGCCTTGGCCACAGTTCCTGGGGCTCCTGGAGACTGAGCTGATTCTCAGTTTGGGGCTGGTGGGAAGGTGGTCTGATTCCTGAGATGAGAAACCACATACTCTCCATAGAGTTACCTGTGTTCGTTTTTTCTGTGCTGTCCCATCTACTCCTGGAGACTGGATTATGACATCATATATCTCCATCCTTAGCATTCTGTAAAAATTAGGCTGTTTACATTTTTTTAAAGAGAAGTTTTGTGTACACACTGATGGGCTGTGAAGTTGAAAGTCGGAATGATTCTATTTTAGAAGCATGTTTTTGGAGTTCTTTTGGGAAGCTGTCTCTGCTAATCCTGACAACTTGGCCCCCCCATGAATGAAGTCAAGAAGCCTGAGCTTTAGAGCTGAGTGTGCTTGACCTCATCTTGGGCAGCCCCCTTCGCCATCTTTGGCATTTAGTCCCCCAGCCATGCTGTGCATGGGCTGCCTCCATTCTCCAAGTTCCATTCGAAAATCCTGTGATTTCCCCCTTGCCCGATCATTTAGTAATTATAGCTTTTGCACCTTCTTTGTACCTTCTAAAATTCCAAATGGTGACTTGGGGCATGGCAGCAAGTGCTAAAGGCCTATGTATATAGAAACAGGCCGACAGAGGGCACTGAGGCAACCCACGGTGGAGCTAGAGGCAACAGCCTGACACCGTGTCCTGAGACAACCCACAGTGGAGCCAGGGACAGCCTGACATCGTGCACTGAGACAACCCCTGGTAGAGCCAGGGACAGCCTGACACTGTACCCCGAGACAACCCATGTTGGAGCCCTGCAGCTTCGGCCATGCCTGCGGCGATGTCTTTCCCCCACCAGTTGCTCAGAAGGTGGCTGGGGCAGACGTCACCTGGCCCATCCTTGGCTAGAGGCCCTAGATGACGGCAGTAACTGCTGCGTGTGTTTCTGGGAAGGACAGTGCTGGGCTTGAGATGAGCGTGGTGTTCAGATCACTGTCCTCAAATTCCTTTCTCTGTGGAGCCTGTCCCGGATTCCGTTGTTCAAAGCTTCATTATACTAACAGTTGGGGACGTGTCATCTCTAGGGCTGGGAGCCCGTGTGCTTGTCATGGTGGGTGCTTGTGAGAGCCGAGGCTCTAGAGACGCAGCTGCCCGAGCCCAGTGTGGCTCTCCACCGTGTCTATGAGCAGGCTGCCAAGGGGTGAGGGCGGTGGAAGAGCTGCTGGGGCATGCCTGGGTGACCGCTGACTCCCTCCGTAGTGGGACGGACATGGTGGTGGAACAGGGCATCTCAGGGTCCTGGAGGTACCAGCCGCTGCTGACCCCAGGGGAAAGGAAAGCGAAGCAGCTTGGCGCCTACTGATTTTCCAAATCCCACAACCGATGCCAGCCATTGTTGGCTCAGCAGCACCATCTGCTGCTAGTTTAGGGCAACTGCTGGGAACCACTGGCTGCCCTGCATAAACAACCCCTGGCTGGATCTGACATCGGTTATCTGCCGAGAGACCACCAGCATCAGCAGCCTCGAGCACCGGCCAGAGCAAGACTCAGCCGTTCTCGGCCTCATGAAGTCTGTACTCTCCAGGTCCAGCCCTGGACCCACAACCTGGCTGCATGTCCCATTCACTGAGACACTCTTTTGGACTTCCGACCAGTGTCTCTGGGACTAAGGCCCCAGCAGAAGGGATGCAGCCTGTCCCCATGGGACCTCTGAATCATCCCAACTCCCTCCCTCCAGGAATGGGAGAGAGAAAGGGTCACCCAGAGGGGACAGCTGAGTGCAGGTCTAGGCGTCCCAGCCTCCAGGTCAGCTGCTCTCACGAGGTGCCCCTTTCCTCCTCTGTGGCCTGTGTCTCCCCTGGAGAGGTCTGATGCCTTCTGCCATAAAGGAGAAGAGGGGCTGAAGGACCAGGCTGGCAGCGGTGTCTCCCCAGCCGTGACCTCAGTGACCTTGCTACCGAGGCGGAATGATAAGATGTTGAAGGAAAACAAGGCGGCGTGGAAGGGGGAAACGGGTGTCATTTTACTGTTGAGAAACAGCCACTTCCCACATCTTAGCGGATTTCCTTGACTCTTATCTCTTTGTTACCCCGTGTATATGTACACACACACATATTTACATCGTAAAAGCAGAAATGGGGTCACGTTGGCTTTGGCTCTCAGTGTTTCCAGGCTGCCCATCCTATAAGGAGCCGGGAAGCATCTCATTGTGTTTGTACTGCACATTAGGACTGAGGTCCAGGGAGAGAGAACTTGCTCCCCAAGTCACCCTGCTGGTGATGGCTGTCCGGGACTGGACACCAGGCCTCTTGGTTTCTGGTTCTTCTAGCGGGTCTGAGGCCCTGTGCTCTGTCTTTCAGGTGTTGGGGTGCTGAGCGGACAGCTGTATGCCACCGGGGGCCACGACGGACCCTTGGTGAGGAAGAGTGTCGAGGTTTACGATCCCGGGACAAACACCTGGAAGCAGGTGGCAGACATGAACATGTGCCGGCGTAACGCAGGTACTGCGACTTCTCCTCTCAGGGCCACAGCGCGTTCCTCCCTGGAGGTGATTGCTCTGGATGACAGGAAAGGGGCAGGGTTGCCAGAATTTGGAGCTGAGCCTGTGTCCTGAACGTAAGAGAGGCCATTTGCCCCATAGGCTCAGCGTTAGGAGGAGGGAGAACCTGGACCCCAAAGGCTGGCCATAGGACCTCCCCAACCCCGAGACTCAGAGCCATCCCTTCTCCCTGGTGGAGGTGGATGCCTAGATTCCCCAGGGCCCTGTCCAGTGGTTAGGCCTGTAGCCTTGTAGCTGTGTGGGCCCAAGCCAGACCATGGTGCTGCGCTGTGTTTTCTCAGCCAGTGTCAGACTGAAACGGCCTTGTACTTCACAGGGTCCAAGTTCCTTCCCAGCAGGGGAACCAGACCCTACCTAACCCTCCAGTGTCCTTCTTCCTTTACTGTCCTTGTATCCCCTGTCCCTGTGTCCCTTTGCTTTTTGAATCCTTCCTATAGGAACAACCTGTCCAGGCATACTCAGGGTCGCGTGTCCTGGGGCCTGACAGCCCGGCCAAGCTGTTTCCCCCTGTGACCTTGTTTTGAGTTGTGCCCAGCAGTGCTGACCTTGCTCTGGGCTCCTTTGCTCTGGGAAAGGGTAGGTTAGCTTCACCCCAAGCCGGACTGACGGGAAGGCACTGCCAGGTAGACTTGTCTCCTTTATTCTCACGCTACCTGTTTGCTAAACTCAGTGTGGCCGACTTGTCGGAGGCTTCAACAGAGGGGCATTACCACTTGGCTCGCAGCCTGAGCCTGTTGTGATGTGCGCTGGCATTTGGCCTTCAGCCACATGAACAAGGAATTCCAGAGCCTGTAAGGCAAGCCTGCCTGCAGTCTGTGAATTCAGTTATAGACATGGGCATGTATAAACGCTCACACCTAGATATTATTTATATAATAACATGTGGATCTTACCGCAGTACTGCTTTAACACTTGCTTTTCCATTCCTCACACATGTCTAATCACACTACCTGTATCTTGTATCTTCACGCCCTCATTTAACACGGCTCTGTCATAGTTTACACAATTAATTATTGAATACTTCATTTTCCATGCTACTCGTAATGCTGTAGTTACTATAAATGATCCTTAGGGTTGAGTCAATGTACACATTTAAAATGATTTCTCTGGAAGAAAAAGCCAAAAGTAGAATCCTGAGACAGGGGAAGGACCTGTATGTTTTCTGTACGTGCACATCTGTGCACACGCGGGCAGGAAGGCGGCACACTTTCTGCTCACAGCAGTATTGAGAGTATCTTTAATCAGCGTTGCTAGTTACTGCTTTTAAAAGCATCAGAAATAAACGTGTTTATAAAAAAAAAAACAGAAGCAAACACTATCTACTGGACTATGTGTTTTAAGGTCTTGAATAACATCTCCCTGCTCCTCTGTCCTGCTTCCTGAGACCTTGCCATCAAACAAGCTCACTCCGAGTTAAGAATGAGAAAGGATCCCCAGCCTGGGTTGAATCCAGATGTGTCTGGATTCACATGCTCATCTTAAGAGGGGTTATGGGCACATCCATTAGCAGCATATGGGGTGGGCACAACATGTGTCTCAGCTGGGAAGACTGAAGGTGCAGAGAAATGGGAGTGTGTGGAATCTTGTCTTCCCTAGTTCAGGCTGACGGGGAGGGCTGCATGACCCACAGGAAATGTTCCCGCAGGGAGACCTGTGCCATCTCTCTATAACGTTCCCACAGGGAGAACCCGCAAAGCTCACTCTATAATGTGGCAGCCCCTGGGGGAGGAGGGCACAGCGGGAGCATCCGTAGGACCACATAGTAATAAAAGCTCCCCAGTGAGAGCAGCGGCCTCATAAAAAGGGGACCCTCAGAGCCCAGTGGCTGTGCCCAGCATGCTCCCCCATGGAGTGGACTCAGACCTCCAAGTGGCATCTCTGCTGGGCAACAGGAAATGGGAAAGAGCCTGCAGGGCTCGGGCATCAGCTGCCCGAGGGTCCTGGTCTCAGGTACTCCCGCTGATCCTGTGACTTCTGCTTGGTTTCCAGGGGTCTGTGCAGTGAACGGGCTCCTGTATGTGGTTGGAGGGGATGATGGGTCCTGCAACCTGGCTTCTGTGGAGTACTACAACCCGGTCACTGACAAGTGGACGCTGCTGCCAGCCAACATGAGTACTGGAAGGAGCTACGCAGGTCAGTGGCTTCCTCTTCCAGGGACCACCACACCAAGGGCAGGAACGGCATGGGGGATGAGCTGGCTTAGCTGGGAATGGAGTTCCTCCTGCAGGGCCGCAGGCAATTGTATCTTCACCGTGTGCCCAGGATAGATGCTGCTAGTTAGCACTTCCTCCCGTGAACCTGGATGTAGCTGTGCAGAAGACTTCATGTCATATTCCAGGGGGTCATGAACCTGAGCCGTGACCTGCCTTGGTCATGCCTGGCTCACTTTGTGCCAGACATGTGGGTGGGAGAGCACCATTCTTGCTCATTAGACATTAGGTTTGGTAGACCTGTCTGCACAGATGGGAAATACCAGATGCTTGTACAAGATTCCCAACTGTGAATGGGGTGCTTCAGGACAGAACGGCCGGAAGAACAGCCATCAGGGATGTGTTCTCAGGAGATGGGTCACAGTCTCACACACAAACTGCCCTTTATTGTGTACTTTTGATGTTAGGTATTATCTTCTTGTTGTGACAACTTCCTGAGAGGGACTACATGTGTGTGTGTATGTGAGTGTGTGTATATGTGTGTGTGTATATATGTGTGTGTGTGTGTATATGTGTGTGTATGTGTGTGAGTGTGTTTGAGTGTGTGTCTGTGTGTATATGAGTGTGTTTGTGTGTGTATGTGTGTATCTGTGTGTATCTATCTGTGTGTTTGTGTGTGTATGTGTGTGTGTTTGAGTGTGTGTCTGTGTGTTTGTGTATGTATGTGTGTGTCTGTGTATGTCTGTGTGTGTATCTATCTGTGTGTGTTTGTGTGTGTGTGTGTGTCTGTGTATGTCTGTGTATCTGTGTGTGTTTGTGTGTGTATGTGTGAGTGTGTGTATCTATCTGTGTGTGTATGTGTGTCTGTGTGTGTGTCTATCTGTGTGTATGTGTGTGTGTGTATGTGTGGAGGACTAGGGGGAAGGAGGGGATTGTCTTGTCTCCTAGTTTCAGTCTGCTGTCTCCTGGCTACTTTGTTTCTGGGTGAGGCTCAGCATGTAGAGATGACATGGACCGCATGCGGGACAATGGGGCCTCCAGTCCCCGGGCAGCTCGGCAGCCGAGACTGGAGAGGGTCGGGTCTGAGACCCCTTGGGTGGCATACCTCCTGCCACTCGCTCCCTCCACCTCCTAGAACTTCAAGCACCTCCCACAATATCTCCACCAGCTGGGCTCCAAACCTTTACAGGAGAGCCTGCAGGGGCTGTGTCCTGTTCCGACTCTAACCCCTCCCTGACCTGTGAGCCAGCGCAGTAGGTACGGTGTGTGCTCCCTCTCACCGTCCCAACAGCCCACGGGCTGACTGGGACTTCATCCTCGATTTCGCAGCTGAGTAGTGGGGACTGTAAGCCATCACCAAAGGTCAGCCACATTGCTAACAAGCATGCACCAAAGTCAGAGTCCAAATGCAGGCCTGACTTCTAGCTAAGCCACACCCCTTCTACTGTCCCCGCTCAGACTGAGTAAAGGGGCTGGGGGAGTAATGGGCAGATTGAGGGGTAATGGGTAGACCTGGGGGGTAATGGGCAGACTGGGGGGTACTGGGCAGACTGGGGGGTACTGGGTAGACTGTGGGGTAATGGGTAGACTTGGGGGTAATGGGCAGACTGGGGGGTAATGGGCAGACTGGCCTGTAAGGGGTAGACTGGGGTGGGGTAAGGGGCAGACTGGTGTAGAGACTCTTTCTTGTAGGGGGCAGTACCAAGTTCAGTGCAGTGCAGGGCATGCGTTGCTATTGGTCAGGGATCCTGAAGAAGAGAAACAGAAGCCCAGCTTCTTCTGTCTGGCCTGAACACTCAGATCCATGGACTTAATGTTTGTTTACTGAGCACACACAGCGAGCCATCCGCTAATTATCCCAAATAGTTAAAACCCATTATCTCCTGTCACGCACACCTTGGCCCCAGTGCGAGGAAGGTCAGCTGCCAGCTCTTCCATCTTGTTCAGGTGTCCTGCGGCTGCCAAGGGCTCCCTGTCACCTTTCCCCACGGCCGTGCGTCTCTTTCACTGTCCCTCCCTCCAAGTCTTTCTCACCCTGTTGCATTTTCCTCCACTAAGACATTGGAAGCATTTGACGCTAGAACAACCCCCTGCTCTTGAAGATCAGCACCTTTTGTTTCTGAAACTGCAGAGGGAACAGGTCGTTTTGTAGGATGAAGAAGTGGGCCGGTTCCTCCGGCTCCACCTCTGTGTTAATGAGAAGTGGGTGGGCTGAGTGGGACCCATCAGGATTTCATAGGTCTGCTGAATACTTCAAAGCCTCGCTTCACTGCCTACTCAGAACTGGTGGGAAGGAGACAATCAGGCCATTTTGTGCTCAAACCAATGGACCAAGTGAATGTGTTATTAAGGCAGACATAACTTATCAGGGCATTGCTTATAATAGAATCTTGCTCTCCCCCTGAAAATGATAATACTTAATGATTGACATTAGAGAAATAATTAAATAATAATTAAATAGTCTATAGAATATTTATTCAGTGGGTATATTTTTCTTTTTAAAAATTGAAAATAGATTTTTATTCATACAGTAGGTATATGCTGATACTGATTTCCCCTCCCCCAACTCCTCCCAGCTCATCCCCACCTCCTTTGTTTTTAATATCTGGAGAAAATGCTTGTGCTTGAATGCTGGGTTCGAGGAGGACTCAGACCGTATGTGCCCGAGGGTGCCGAATGCTCAGGTCCTATCCCGGAGGAGAGGGAGCTTTGAGTGCTGTTATTCTCCAAGTGGAGGTTGGAGTCTCAGATCTGCCACGAGCCTTAGGTCTCTGGGCGAGGCATTCAGCCTGACCGAACCTCCATTGGCTCAGTTGGAAAATGGGGATAAAATTAGATTGGGCCTCTGAGGACCTTTCAGAGACTGCAACGTGATACCGCATGTATGGTTTGTGGCACGGTGCCTGGCGTGAGCCACTACGAGTTAGCACGTTCCGATTATTATTAGAGGCTGGGAAGGACTAAAGAGATGATGGTGTTTCTCTTTGAGGGAATAAAGGTTTCTCCTTTTTTTCTTCTGCATTTTCCGTAGTGAGAGCATATTGCTTTTTTAATAAGAAAGGCTCATATGAAAAACACTCCATGAAAACACCACGAGAGCCTGCTTTTTAGCAGGTATTGCTCAGTGACAGAGGTATCTGAGGCACAGGAGAGGCTGCCAAGGCCAGGTGGTACCTTTTGGTCTGGAGTAAAGCTCTGCCCGCCTCCAGGCTCTTCTGTTGGTATCTTAGGCAGGAATAAAGAGGGAATGGGTATCTCAAGCAGAGCGTCTATGATGGTGTGTCCTCCTATTCTTTAGCTTGTGTTTCCTTAACCTCACCTTCAGTCAGAGTATTTTATAGCTAGCTATAGGAACATGTTAAAATAAATCTCCATGCTAGGCGGTGGTGGCATACGCTTTTAATCCGAGCCCTCGGGAAGCAGAGGCAGGTGGGCCTGTAGTGGCATTTCATTTGTATTTTAATAAATAAAGCTTGCTTGAAGACCAGAGTGTAAACCAGCCCCACTGTTCAGTCTTACAGACCAGGCGGTGGTAGCACACACCTTTAATCCCAGTAGCCACACTAGTAGCCATAGAAACCAGGCGTTGTACGCCTTTAATCCCAACCCTAGAGAGGATTATAAAATGGGAGGAAACAGCTCTCAGACACAGTTTCATTCTCAGATTCCTGGAGGCAGGATTGGCATTTCAGACTGAGGTTGAGGTAAGAGCCAGTGGCTGGCTGCTTTGGTTTTTGGATCTTCAGGTTGAACCCCAATTTCTCTCTCTGGGTTTTTATTAGTCATGCTTCATGGGTCTCTGAGCTTGAGGCCAGCCTGGTCTACAGTGTGAGTTCCAGGATAGCTAGTACTACACAGAGAAACTCAGTCTTGAAAACAAAATAAAACCCCCAAAAACAGAACAGAAAAAACCCCTCTATTCCCACTCCCTTTCCTCCTCCCATTCCCTCTATATACCCTCCCACTCCACCCCCATCCACTCCTCAGAGAAGGTAAGGCACATTGCTTTGGGAAGATCCAAGGCCCTCCCCACTGTATCTAGGCTGAGCAAGGAATACATCCAAAGAGAATAGGTTTCCAAAAAGCCAGTACATGCAGTAGGGATAAATCCTGGTGCCACTGCCAGTGGCCCCTCAGTCTTCCCCAGCCATGCAACTGCCAACCACATTCAGAGGGACTAGTTTGGTCCTATGCTGGTTCCTTCCCGATCTGGCTGGAGTTAATGAGCTCCCATTAGCTCAGGTGAGCTGTTTCAGTGAATGAACCCATCATGGTCTTGACCTCTTTGCTCATATTCTCACTCCTTCCACTCTTCAACTGGACTTTGGGAGCTAAGTCCAGTACTCCGATATGGGTCTCTGCCTCTGTTTCCATCAGTTGCTGGATGAAGGTTCTATGGTGATATTTAAGATACTCATCAGTCTAACTACAGGGCAAGTCAAGATCGGGCCCCCTCTCCTCTATTGTGGAGGGTCTTAGCTGGGGTCATCCTTGTGGATTCCTAGGAATTTCTCTAGAGCCAGGTTTCTTGCTAATCCTATAATGGCTCCCTCAATCAATAAACCTCTTTCCTTGCTCTCATCTCTGTCCTTCCTCCTTCTTGACTGTCCCATTCCCTCAAGTTCTCCTCCCCCCTCCCCTTCTCCCCTCCTCTTGCCCTTCCTCTCTCCCTTCTCCCCCCTCCCCCTTGCTCCCTATTTTGTCAGGCGATCTTGTCTGTTTCCACTCTCCAGGTGGATCTATATATCTATGTTTTTCTTAGGTTCACCTTATTACTTAGCTACTCTAGGATCATGAACTATAGACCCTTTGTTTATAGCTAGCATCCACTTGTGAGTGAGTACATACCATATTCATCTTTTTGGGTCTGGGTTACCTCACTCAGGATAGCGTTTTCTAATTCCATCCATTTGTATGGCACTTTTTGAGTTATTATTTACTAGGAGGTTCCAGAACCCTGCCTGGTGCTGATTTCCACCAGGAAGGAGGTGTGTGGTCCCAGGCAGACAGCAGCGGACAAGCTGCTGTCACAGCCCAGAAGGCTTGCCTTCCAGTCTCATTGGCTAGGACCGGGCGACAGGGCATTTGGGAAGCAGTCTAGCAGGCCGAGTGTGTCACTAGCCGGTGTGTATAGTGGAGAACAGTGTGCAGAAAGGACGTTGGCTTCTTCAGTCTCTAACATCTTCCAGATGGCATCAGTGGGTTATGGTGAAACTTGGGTGACAGATGGACTTACAGAGTTAGGGCCTCAGTGTGGTTAAGTTTAACAAAAGCAGTGATACACAGTGCGTGCTTGGAAAGTTTATCCAGTTGGGAACTGAGCACTGGGTGAGGGTCTCAGTTCCATGACAGCAAGCAGTGTGAGAAGTCGCCCTCAATTGTGACGAAACTCACTGAAGACCACGGTACAGATCACCTCCGGGCAAGGCTTGGGCTGGAGTTTCTTTTCGTTCTTCCTCCCATAGAGTTGGTGTATTCTTCTTAGTCCATCCCAGTGACTTCTAAAAGTAGCAAAGTCGACCTACATCAGCCATCGCTTCTCCAGAAAATGATACCGATTTGGAAGACATGCCTCTGGGTCCTCAGTAAGGGGTGTGTGGGGTGTTAATCTGGATGCTGTGGTCAGGAAGAGGAGTGGGGGTGTGTCTGCTGGCATGCGCTGTTTGAGACCATGCTTGTGGATTCAAATGTCCCGCCAGGATGTGACTGTCAGAGTGGAAACAGTCAGCTCCCGCCCGGCAGCGATAGCACGGGACCCTTCCAAGGGCTGTGACAGGGTATCGCAGATTCCTGGACCCGCTGGGACTCCGATTAACTTTGGAGAAGAGAAGATGGTGACTTTGTTTCCCTTCCATGTCAGGTGTGGCTGTGATTCACAGATCCTTGTGACCCAGACTCCCACTGCCCGGAGGTGGAAGAAGGAGCGGGCACTGTGACTGGAGCACCGAGCAGCGGGACCGTGACAACTGATGAGATTAACTGGAAGGCTCTGCGGTGATTTGAGAGCCGCCCTTGCTGTCTTGGCAGGCCAGCCTTGTCCCTCTCAGTGTGGACACTGATGGTCCACCTTCTGCTCCGAGGTGCTTTGGTTTCTGCCCTAAACAGTTGTGTTTCTGACAGCCCCACAAAAACTCCTTGGGCTTTTTGCATGTGTGTATGCGTGTGTGTGTCCGTGTGCGTGTGTGTATTTCTACAGGACAATGGAGAGAACCTTGAAGTATGTGTGTGTGTGTGTGTGTGTGTGTGTGTGTGTGTGCTTCTACAGGACAATGGAGAACCTTGAAGTGTGTGTGTGTGTGAGCACGTGCACACGCATCCATGTGTTTGTGTTTGTGTGTGTAGGAACCATTTCAGTGAGGGCTGGGGCTGTATGAGTGTCTACTGGATGTCTTTACTACTGATCTTCCACGATGCTAAAACACCTACCAATGTCTTCTGGACTCGTCCCATGAAGACCCTCGACTACTGAAGCTGCTGCCTTTTGGGGTCCAGGCAGAACTAGGCAGAAGCATCTGGGACCATGCCTTGACTACTGCAGCCGGGTGGACGAACTGGGGCTTCCGCAGAGCTGCCCTCCATCCTCCATGCACCTCTAGGGTGCAGCCTCATCCGGCCATTGCCAGTCACCCCCCTCGGCTGCACTCCAGGAGGCGGATGAGAACTGTTTTTGTCTTCACGTCTTGGCCTCTAGTCTTTGATGTCATGGATTCCAGGTTTGGAAGATTTTGTGTCTTTTCAGCAGGGAAAACAAACTCTTCAGAGAAGCCCCAAGTAGAACACTGGGGAGAAATAGACAAGAAAAGGCAAAACAAAACCCAGAAAAACCAAAGTGGTATGGATTTGTTCCCACCCAGTGAGGTCTCAGACAGGGACCCTGCTTCTGAGTGTTCACAGGGCACCAATCCTTTTTCTTATGCTTATTATGTAGGCTTACTTATTCATGGTATCAGTTCTCATGCGGATGATAACTAAAAGGTCACCCCGCCACTAAACCCAGAGATAGGCTTGCCCCCGTGTTAGGTGGGGCCACATGTAGCTCAGAGGGACGTGAATGGCTGGATCTGGCCATCGGCACTTTGTGATGATGGTCAGGGCTGTTTTTATCTGTCTTCCCTTTCTCGTGCTTCAAGGTCCATATCTGTTCCTCAGCCTCCCCAACACCCCTTCTTATTCTCCCCTTTGTGGAGGAGACGGTCATGGGCCCAGGACTGGAGATATTCCTCAGACACTTGCTTTTTAAAAATGAAAGCAACTTAGGAAAGCTTTGATTGGCCACAGAGCAGAGTGTCTCGAAGTGTAACGTCACGTCCCTGGGGTGGTGTTTGGAGGCACACGGAAGCGCACAGTAAGGGTTGGGGGGACGCGTTTGCTGCACAAACATGAGTTTGGTCTCTAGCACTGTGTAAAAAAATCCAGCTACGGCAACATGCACCTACAGTCTCAGAGCTGGGAAGGCGGAGAAAGGCTGGTATCTGAGGCTTGGGGACAACCAGCCTAGGCTAACCAGCAAGTCTCAGGACCCGGGGAGAGTGTGTCTCAAAACAGGTTGTGTGGTAACTGAGGACTGACATCAAAGGCTGATCTCGGGTCTCTGCACACACCCACTCTCCCCTTACACACAAAGAACCTCAAAGTCGTTTGAACTCTCCCTAAGCTAGCAAATTGCCTGTATCAGGGATTTTGCTCTCGGAGGAGGGGAGACTTTGTGTCTAGAGAGCAGTCTCACACCCAGGGCGTGGAGTTTTGGCCTCCTGAAGTCAGAATCCATGTAGAGGAGACCATGGGACTTTGTGAACTCAAATGCGGGACTTCTGCTATAAGAAGGCTCTTCAAAGCACAGCTACAGGGGGATGGCACCTCCTGCCCTTTGCGTTCCGAAGCCGGCTTCTCCCAGCGAGGCGACCACTGCGTATTTACTGAGCCTTTAGTGTGTGCTCTTCCACAAGAGTAAAAAGTTCCTTTCCAATGGTAAGCAGAAGTTAGGCGCCACAACACCCAGATAGTTAGTAGCCTTAGGAATAGTCAGTAGCTAGGATACCCAGTTTTTGGGGGTTCCAGAAGAAATGTCTTCCAAGGGATGCAAATGTTTCTTGGCAGATGCCCTGGTTCCCAGAAAGCTCTGCCTGGCCCCCTGCTAGAAAGGGGGTGGAATGCATCCCTGATCCCCTTCCTCCCTCTCCAGGGAAGTCTGGGGACTTGTTTGAGGTGCGAGTGGTGAAGATAAGGTTGGGGACCAGGGTCAGATGTGCTGTTGGTACCAGCACCCCACTTCAGGTGAAAGGTAACCCCACCTCCTCCTCCACTCCCACCAAGATTCTTAGGGGTCGAGATGAGTCTCTTCCTGGAGAGAATCCCTCCTTCCACGGAAGCTGGCCAGCTGCGGTTTCTGCTGGAGTTTTCGCTGTTGGCCCCACCTTCCGTCTCCCTTCCTGCAGAGCGCTGCTTTTGCAGGCAAAGCTGGTAAGGGTTCCCCTCATTTCACCCTCGTGCGTCCTTTCTCCTGGAGCTAGAACACTGGTGCGTCATCACCAAAAAGCCAGTCTGCCCTAGCTGCTCACAGATGCCACCCAGATCCTCAGGCGTCAGGTTGATGCCTCCCCACGGTGGGCAATTCAGACTCACTTTCAAGTCGGTGTTAGTCACATGGCGGGTAACACCCCCACCCCCGTTAGAGCAGCTGCCACTGCTAGTGAGCACAGCCGTGCCAGGGGCACATCTAAAATCTGACTGCAGTGGCCAAATGGAATCGAGACCCAAGGTCAGAAGCAGCTCAGACACCACTTGGATGCTAATTCGGAAAATGTAGAAGTCGGTTTCTGAATCCCAAAGTTACTTCTCCTAAGTACCCAATAGCCTCTCCATCTAAAAACATGGCAGTATTATGCAAATGAAGTGACCTCATTTTCCTGCTATGCAATAAGAATTCTTAATTCTGTCTCGTGACAAACCAGTTGCGATATCCCCTCAGATGCTTTCTCCGGGCTGGTCTACTTTGATATCTGTTGTGTAATGTTTCTATATCTCTGAGCCAGATCCTTTCGAAGATTGCCTTTTTATTTTGTAAAATCGAAGCTGTAGCTTTTTCAAGCTGAAGCTTTACTGTAGATATTTTTAATAGATCATTTTTTTTCATGATATTTGAATCGCTTTCTGTTGTCCACGATAACGAGATGCTATTCCGTGTGTCGCTCACCCTGACAGTGTGCACCTGTAGTGCTTCTTGTTTGGTTTTCGCCTCTCGGATGCCTCCGTAGCTCCAGGTTCCTAGCGTTTTAGGGAGACCGTGGGATTCCAAGGCACAGCCATGGGGCTCTGTCTTCCAGTTTCTAGGACTAACGGTGAACTTGACTCAGCGCTTGTCCGTCTATATCTCCTCCCTCTGTGTTTTTGAATCTGCAGGGCTGGGGCTGGGTTGGCCCACACAGTAGTGGCCCTCATCCCCTGGCCTGAGCCTGCCCTCCGGCCTACATTCCCTGGGCTTCCCCGGCCCTGCAGACCTTGCTTATTCTTGACTGTCTCCTGGTTTTTGGAGGTTTCTAGTGCTCGAGGCCTCTGTGGCTGGGTCCTGTCTCTTCGGGAAGCTTGCGTTCTCTGTACTTAGGAAGAGGAGGGAGTCCCTCACGAGCTCTGGGAAGAATGTGCTTTAACAGATGCTCACACTGATTTTTTTTTCCCCCTGAGCTGTCTCCCTTCCAGGCTCTGTTTTGTGCATTTATCTGTCCTAGGACTCTTGTTTCTCTTTTTTTTTTAAATCTTAATTTATTATTTTTGGGATAGGCGCCATTTAACTGCCTCTATGCTTCTTCCTGTTTGCACCTGGTTGGATCGAGTTGGGAGGCTGAGCAAACTCATTCAGCTGGACAGAGTGTCCAAGGCTCTGATGCACAGAAGCAAGGAAGTCAGAGTGGTTTCAGTAGGGTTTTTCCCCCATGTGTCTGTGTTTGCACTACTTAGCACCCCCTCCCCCCCATGTTCAGTTATATTGTTTATCTACTGACCAAGCAGAGAATCCAGCAGCACTTCCAACATACGGGGATGAAGAGGCTTCTTCTGTGTGGGCAATCACAGCCTTAGAGGCCCTGCGCAGCCTTTACCACAGGATTCAGTGACTCCTGGATATAGCGGCAGCCACGGCAGGAATGCACGGGGCTGTGGCATTTGCAGGGATATATGGGCCCTGTGCTGTTCTTGCCTTTGGTTATTAGATTGTAAATTATTACTTTTGGTGGTAATAAAGGACCTTTGTTGGACTTCTTGTTTAATTTGTATATGATGTGTAAAATACTTTCTTTGAAAGAAAACTCAAGATACAGACTGTGTATGTCTGTGTGGATGTCCTGGCCTGGGCTTGACATGAGACACTGGCACAGCCCCATGGTCTGATCTGCTGTTTTCTGCATGAATGTCAGGGACTGTATATCTTGTAAAAGAACACTGGTCAATACAGAGAAAGCCGAGAAACATTCCCCCAAATGTCTTACTTTAATAGGATCCCATTCCAGTTCCCCACACTGTACAACTGTACATGGCATTTCAATAAAAGCGGAACTGTACAAACATCCTTGGCTTCATTTCCTCTGTGTAACATCTCTTACGTCTCGTGTAAAGGGCAGACTCCTCCCCACATAATCACGTGGAAGAATTTCCCTTCAGAACCTTGAACTCTGACTTTTGTCACCTGGCCCCAGCACAGTGCAGGCCCACAGAGCCCTTTCGAGAGGTCTAGAGGAGGCAGTCCCTCTAGAAGGTGTTGATATGGGCCATGACCAGTGCAGCACGCAATGCCTGTCTGCTCTCTAGCGCTACCATACAGTTCGCGAGCTTTGGGAAGGGGTTGGAGGTTGAAACACACAAAGACACACAGACAGAGAGACAGAGACACGGACCTCTAGTCACTGGTAAGAAGCCCTTTATTCAATAGCACCATGGAGGCTTATATACCCAACAGTCAGGTGGGCCAACAGGTGAAAACCTTATCCTCTGATCCTCAAGGCAAGGGAACACGTGCTTGTGAAGCAGAGCTGGTAAACAACTTTGACACAACTTTCAGTAACTCAAATCAGAAGGAAAGTAAAGATCTCTAGCAGGGAAGAGCAGCTGGAGGCCAGGACTCCAGGTCCCAACAGACAAGGTAGTTGTCTGGGATCTGGGGCTGGAGGAGACAGTGGTTGACTGTTCTGACATCACTCCTAAAAGCTGAGCTGTATCCCAGGTATGTGGAATGCTTGGCTTGGTGGCGG